ATATATATATATATATATATATATATATATATATATATATACTAAATCAAACAGTTTAGTTATGAGCGTCTCCTATGAAAACCATCTTGCTCATTTGTTTTTGTCCATGATGACATTTGAGAGCAGGTACGATCTCATTCACCTCTCTTCGGATATGCCAAAAAATACATGATATGTGGAACTAGTTGAGTCCATATACGAACATGATTGACGCATCATCTTTTCAAGCCATTGGAAGAATAAATGGTGCACTCCGAACCTTTTTCTTCTTCTTCTTCTTCTTCTTCTTCTTCTTCTTCTTCTTCTTCTTCTTGATGTTGGCTATGATGACGAATAGAATGCTGCTATCTCTTAGTGGTTTGAGACACTCTCAACTGATGAATCGTTGGTGGATCAAGAACTTACCACACATGAGACTAAAGTTGAAACTGCCCATGTTTTTGGTTAGCATTTGATCTTGATTTCAAGCTTTTGAACATCTGTTGCATTATCTTTTCAAGATCGGGTTTCAAAGTCCTCTTTTATTCAGAGGGCGGGCCTTACTCTAATTTGGGTGATTCAGATTAAGTCATGAAATTTTTTTTTTTATTTAGATATAAGATTGCATACTTAAGTTTGATGAGAGAAAAATATAAGATTTATAATATTATTTTTTGGAAGGTACGTACATAAATGACGGTGATATTATAATTTAGAATTTTGTTCTGAGTGGAAAAGAAAATTGGATCGTTTCAATCGAGTCACTAATGTGTTAGAAAAAGAAATGAGAAAGCAAAAACAAACTCTAAAAATACTTCGATAAAGTAAGCAATTTCTTGTTGGCTAAAATCATCTAAAAATAAGAAGAAGAAGAAGAAGAAGAAGAAGAAGAAGAAGAAGAAGAAGAAGAAGAAAAACTCTAGGGGCATAAAATTAAACTTAGCTCACATCAACGGAGAGATCATGGCATTAGTCATCCCAGTTGAGCTTATTACTGAATGGTAGACAATTGCTTTCTGACAGTGGAATTGGTGTCAGCTTCTTGTGGTGGGTGATTAAAAGAAGGGGGGCGAGCATTAGAGATTTATAATAGCTTTTTAGTCGTGAGCTTCCCCAGTTAAAAGATGCCACCCACGGCCTCGGATACATCACCCACCATCTGCTGGCTGCAGTTCCTCATTCTTCACGTCTTCTCTCTCTCACTCTCTCTCTCATATTATCTATCCTATGTGACGCACATCACGCACCATTCCTTCGTGAATTGCAAGGAAATGGTACCAAAAAGCTTGTGAGTTGTTGCTCAACAGAAGCTTCACTTTTTCTTGCACAAATTTACACCTATCGCTTAGTTCTTATTTTACTGGATAGCTTAATCAACACACCATCTTTTAAACCTCCAGAAGCTTTCACTAGACTTCACTGACTAATAATCTAATGAATAGGTAATTTAGTACTAACTCTCCACCAACTCAGTGGAAATTCTTTTTCTATGTAATCCCATTAACGTTCATAATTTTATTGTCGTTGATGAACTGATATCGCGCAAAGGTTATCTTTGTGTCAGAGAGGAGATATCAGGATTGAGAAGAGAGGAAGGAATGTGTGCAAACTCGGTATGGCAGACAAATAGATGAAACACCTATGACATGTTTGGAACCGTATTGCCTAATATTTATTGATGCTTGAATCTTGATGTGATCCAATATGAGGAGGAGCATGTTAAATCAATGTCTTCAAAATCCACATGTACGTGGAAACCCTCCCTTCCAGTTTGAAGTCTTTTTGTTTGCTTGAAGAAAAAGAAAGTGTTCGACGTTTTTATGCTCCCAAGAGATTTTTCATTGTCACTAAGCTTTTCTTTCGACCGTCTAATAATTCATGGTGGCTAACAATGGTGTGATAATTGAAGGAGACGACATTTTTCACTACCTGTAATATCTCAACTTCAAGATTAAGTAGCTTCTTCCGTGATGAGATTCTAGGATTCATCTTTGGTGTCAATCAAAAAGTTCTCAGTCTTTGATGGTTTCTTACACACAGCCATGCCAAAGGTTGCGGTAGCAAGGATTTGCAGATGCCCATGCGATTTATATTGTCACATGCATTTTGCTGCTCAATAATTATGACTTGCTGGTTCGTACGATTCACAGTGAAAAGTATTGTTCTTTTCTTCAGTCAATCATAGTTGTTTTTTCTTCAGTCAACCATCGTTTATCCAATTGTTTGATGGTAGCTCAGTCCCTTATAAGCTTCTTGTTCTTGTTTGTATTTTATTCTTTATAAAAATGAGAAACAAAATATCAATGTCTTTTTTTTTTTAAAGGAACAAATATTATTCTCCAAAAATTAATTAAAGTAAAAAAAAATATACAAAATGCAACAATGTATGAGTATTTTCGACATCCAAAAGTGCTAATAGGTGTTTGGTGGAAGGAATCGAAATAAATCAGATAAATAAGATACAAATTGTATCATACTTATTCAAAAATCAGATGCATTAAGATATTTATACTTTCAAAGTTTAAAAATTATTATTTCCCCTCCTCAAATTAATATAGCATGTATATCCCTCCAAATACTTGGCCATATGTTCCTTAAAATATTTATATTTTAATCCTTCATGCTAATTGCCATCAAGTAGGATTACCAATGAGTTTTAAAAATATTAAAAAAAAAATGAAGGATAAATAAATTTACTGATTTGTAGGAGCATACATATACGCAATATCATAATGAGTTTTAATGTTATTATGCTAATAATCAACCGACGACAATAACATTTGTGTAAGATTTTAGACGATTGCATGGGAATATATGGTAAAATAATATTTAAGTTCATCGCAATGATGTTTTATAAATAACAACTCCAAATCTCTTTATATTAACAATCTCGCATAATTTCTCATCATACTAACTATACCAACTAATTAGTTAACAGTTAAGATATTTTTCCCATGTTCATGTTCATCATCACCAACATATTCTAGAAAAAAGGCAGCCATTTTTTATCTTGACATATCGATATTGTGGAGTAAAAGCACAAGAACTCTCCAACAAGCACACTGAAAGGAATTTTGGAAATTAATGCAACACCTAGTTAATCTTCCATACCAACACAAACTAAGTTGACATGAGCAAATTGCACCAAGTCCAAAACGTTAACATGAGGTGATCCTAACAGGTACTTACTTGATGATATCTCATTGGCGTAAAATTGAGTTAGGTACTTGCTCGATCTATTTTGATATCTTATTGGTGTAAAAATGAAGACCAATGATTGCATAAAATGGCACCTCGCATGCCTACTCAAGATTCATGCTCTCTCTCAAGAATCCTCAATATTCATACTTTTTTTTGTTGAATGAGGAAGTATTTTAGTAGATCTGTAGCAAGTATAATGAATTGATAGCATAAAACAATTCAAAAAGTATATATAGTATAGAACAGTTCAAAAAAAAAAAAAGTGGAGAACAATTCTAATCCTCTCATTCATACAATCTAGTCCTTTGTCCTTTGTAACCTTTTCTTGGAGACAATGGACAGTAGACAGTCAACTCAACTTGCAAAAGCCAGTTACAGGTCTTATAATACTATAACGAGAGAAACAATTGTTTAAGCTTGGTGATGCATGCCTCAAGGACTTGAATTGACAACACCAATAAGCAATTTAAGCTCTTACGACACGAGTAGAGGAAGAAAAAGAAAAGGCAAGCTAACATGTAATTCTCACGAGTGATATTTTCCATCTCTAATATCCCTCCTCTCTCTCTCTGTCTCTCTCTCTCTCTCTCTCTTTTATCTGAACATGTGTGTGTCCACTATTCGTTTTTATTCGTTTTCTCTTCACATTTTGGAAAGACAGAAGCACATGATATAGCATGAAAGGACATCTTACATATTGTCTCACCAACTGTTTATACAAATAATTTAAGGCCCCCTACATTTAATTGCGATTGCTCAAGACTGCCTAACAAGTGATACTAGAATACGGGCAACTACTTGATGAAAGGCAGCGGCACTACAGCTCCCACCATATGATCAAAAGATACAATAGGTGTCGAAGCTTGAACCGCAACCTTTGCTTGACAGAGTCCAGAAGAAAGGGAGCAGCTTCAAGAACAAGCAAAAACTCGAGGCAGAAACATGAGATTTCTTACCCACTGACTCAACGCCATCATCCTCAGACCTCGCTAATACCTCCTCGATGTTGAAGGATTGTTCCTGTCCATGTCATCGAACAACGTCTGACCATCTCCGGTGCCGAAGTTGCTACTCCTGGTATTCTGACCATTGCTTGCAGATCGATCGCCTTCGACCTCACGATACTTGTGCAAGTACCGCCTCATCGGCTCCGCATAGTCGTCGAAGCCAAGCGTGCCGAGCGCCCAGCAGATGTCGTCCCCGTTCACCGTCTTGCGCTTCTCCTTGTGACACCGGTCGGAGGCCTCGGCCGTGACGAAGCTGATGAACTCCGACACGCACTCCTGCATCGTCTCCTTGGCTTCCTTTGAGATCTTCGCGTTGGGGGGCAGCATCTGCTTCATGATCCTTCCCACGTTGGCAATCGGCAGCAACCTGTCTTGCTCCTTGATGCCGCCATCACCTGAGCCCGCTCCCGTGGACGTGCCGAGTGCCTGCCCTTGTGCTTCTTGGCTATTCCCCGAGCTATCGGCCATCGACCCCTTGGGAGCACAGACACGTTGCACCTGCGGCCTCGTATATAGATAAAAGAATATAGTCTGTATTTGTAAGCATGAAGAAAGTACATAAGTTGGAGGTCTCTCAAAGAAGATTCATGTGTTGGCTTCTTCTGTAGACGGGCAGATCCATGTCTTCCGGGAAGATGACGCTTTGACGAGACTCGCACGTGTTGAAGCGGAGATTATAGACGGCAAGCATGCTTCCAAAGCGAATGGGTGAGGGATCATATGATGAAAAGCTTGTGCTCAACGGTGTCTGCTTCGGTTTAGGTTGAAGAGGTCCCTCCCCCTTTTTATCTGGACTCCTTGTACTAGAGTGTTAGATCACGAGTGCCTATGCACGGATCCAGCCTTGTCAATTCCACTCTTCGTTCGAGCTTCCAAATCACGAAGCTCAGACCTGCATGAGACCCAGTTCTACCGTCGGTGCAAACCAATCTAGATATGTTTGGCACAAGTGATACATCATGATGATATCTGACTTTTTTTTTTTCCTTTCCATCGTCTATATTTAATATCAATGATATCTGTATAGTAACATCCCGACTATTTATGATGGACGAAATGAATCTTTTCTCTAAATTAAAATTTAATATTCTTTTGACACCATCAATCTTAATGAAATCACATCAATTCCTTAATTGATGGCATAAAGTTCCCCAATATTAGGCCCACCTACATACATAAAAGAAGATAAATAGGGGCTTCGATTTAACCTCATGCACACAAGCAAAACGAGACTTACATGCTCCCTCCATGGTTCATCACAGCTATAAAGACCAATGACGACACTGTGTCCTACGCAAAAGACACCTGGATGGATATGGTCAGCGAAAGGAAGTAAAAAAAGTGACAGCCACTCGAGAGTAAGTGAAGTCATCCATATCCATTTCAAACTTAATAATTGCTCTTTAGGAATTCGAACAAAGGGATCTCCAATCGATGGAGTGGTTGGTTAAACTCCCCCTGTCAAAAATATTGCTCCATGATACACGCATCTTTCAGCTGTCCATTTTAAATGACTCCAAATCTCTCTTTCAACAAACACTTTACATTTATTATTATTATTTTCTTTTTTGTTGGCATTGGATCTTATGTTTAGTAGAGAATGAGTGAGATAATGATAACCAAAGTAAAAGGAAAGCTCAAGTCTGGAAACTTCTTCAGGCAGGTCTGTTGATGACAGTGCTTAAATATGTCAATTTATCAAAAATTTAAAATTTGAGGATTCCTAATCTCACCTAAAATCTTCTGTGGAGTTTTAGCTACAAAACTTTGACAGTTGGTGATAAGGGTAATAATAATTATAATAAGATAGATGGATTAGTTATTTAAATTTGAATATCTATCTTATAGATAAAGTTTAGTTTTTCAAAACTCTTCTGGTAAATCTTATTATTGTTTTTCTCATTCTTCTTTCTGGTTGTCCATTAACTCTTCTATATTAAAAGACCATCATCAAATGAAATTGAGGAGCACCATTTCCCAGTATAAATACTTAGCATTTTGTACAATTATCGATCATATTGAGCTCCAAATAAAAAAAAAAAAATCATCGATATTTGGGAAACTAAATCCAACTAGGTTTCTTAAAGTTGTTTTCTCCAGAAGAAGAAGAAGAAGAAGAAGAAAAAAAAAGAATTCTGCCACTTCAGAAAATCGAGCTTTATACAAGATATGCGAACCATTCTGTAAGTTAGCAAAAACATATTTATTTTTTTAGTGATAAATAATAAAAACATAATTTAACTTCAGGATCTTATGATAAACTATGATTAATAATTTTTTTTAACTATAGCAATTTATAACGGAGGAGGAACATTGAGAATTCATAGACAAAATAGTAATTGTGCAGTTTGATGAGAAAAGAGATCCTTAATTAGGAAGATAATGTGGTATTGAAATAAAAGTTATTTATGCTTAAGCATCGAAATAAATACAAGTCATCAATCAGCGAAAATGACTGACTTGCTGCGTTCTTCTTATGTGATGTAATTCTCTTTTAGCTATGAAGTTATACTTCGCCAAAATGATGCTTGCCTTTCTTTTTTTTTTAATACCATGATGTATACTCTTGTATTTGGGGCTAATTATAGATTAGCTCTTGTATTTGGACTCACTTAATATTATGAATCATGTACTTCAAAAATTTATATTGGGAGTCTCACGATTATAAAAGTCAAATATTTCATCCCATTTTTCCTAACATTATCGGTTTTATTGACGGAGGACACAACATGATGGATTGACATGAGACCGATTAACAAAAAGATAATTTTAATGGCGATGGAGCGATGATGCTATCACTATCATTGTGGCGTCGAAGCCTCTTAATAAGTAAGTGTCTTGGGCACTCCTTTGTAGGCAGTCGCTATCCTGATGGCTAAGTGATGGAGCGAAGAAAGCAATAGGAATGCTTGACCTCTTCGGGGAAATGAGGAGGCCCGGAGGATGCATCGGAGACCATGGACGGGTCATGCTCCTCCTCTTCTTCAAAGGAACCACCTTTGCCGTAGACAAGAGGCTGAGAGCACTCACCCAAGGATTGGTCCAAGTAGTTGGTCCAACCAGATGGCATTCGCTGCTGCAATCTGAGCTTATATGTTCCTCTTCTATTAGGAGAATACTCGTTCTCATTCTCATTACCGTTGTCGACAGGCAAAGGACTGCCTGATGACAACAGAGTGCCTAAGGCCCTCGTCGACGACAGGCTCCGATACCACAGCGACAGTGATGCCGACAGGGTGATCGTCATCATAGAAGCAACGACACATCACCGTTGAAATTACTTTTATATTCTTTGATTTTAAGTCAGTCCTACACATGATATTATCATGTGTTGTGCTGTATCTTTCGTTAATGTGACTAATGACTAACATGTAAAGTAGAAAAAAAAAAAAAGAGAGTAAATTATTTTATTGTTATTATTATAAAAATTTTAATATAATTTTTTTAAGTATAGAGAGCATGATATTACAATGATTCAAGTATAAAAGATAATATATAATTAACGTAGAATATGTGCGATCTTCATGTGCACCCTTGACTTAGCATCCACCTTTGGTAAAGAATTATAATGAATTTATAAGATTTCTGACTCATAATGAAAATGAATTAGTACTTTATACATATGCCATAAACCACTAACAAGAGAATATATGCCGGAAATGATGGGCTACAAAGTTAGTTTTAGCATATATGTATCATTCAACTTATTCTAATAATAAGAGTTTGGGATTGATGGCTAAGTTCAACAAGCTGAGGTCTTGTTATTCTCCACTAAGAAGAGATGAGTCACTCTTAGAGAAAATGTTGGCACTCTATGGTGATTGTCGTGGCAGTCAAGCGAATTGGGACCAGAACTTGTGGATGCAGAAGAGACACATCAATAGAAATGATTGTGGTGAGTTGCAACATGTAGGGTAGATGGGATGTGGTCCATCTGGCCAATAAAGCAAATTAGGCAAAACTCCCAAAGGTCATGGAAAAGCCAACACAGAAGACAGACATCTGGACTTGCTCTCAGACTATGTTATGGGGACCATGGTATGCCACTAAAGCTTTCCCTCATGTCTCCTGGACTTCCATCAGTATACGTAAACTATAGCATGCAAGCTGGCCATTGACCAGCAACCTCTGCAAGCACCAGAAATCACTAGAAAACCTTGGTTAGGAACCTGTAGATCTCGAGATGCCTTCCAATCCCTCGTGCATTGATCTGCATCATGCATTCCCAAAGTTTGCTGATTAAAAACATTTTGAATTCGCTTCTTTGCTAAATCATCTAGTCCTTTAATTACCTCAAACATTGATTTTATTATTATTATTTTAATAGAAGCTTAAGAAGATGCGATGATAATAATAATAATAATAATAATAATAATAATAATAATAATAATAATAATAATAATAATAATAATAAAATTATTTAAAAATAAAGGATGATTGAAATATCTTGTACTTGGACAAGTGTCACAAGTGGATCACCACACAAGATATAATCTTGCTTGATTAATAGATTTGTAAAGGTAAAATTTTTATAATTAATATTTATAATATTCGAGTCTTATACGTATTGAATTAGAGTACAAATAATATATATATATATATATATATATATACTTCATAAATATGATAAATAACATGCTCATATTTTTAACTTTGAATATTATATATGCTTTCTAAAAATATCATTCTTAGTATTTTATGAAATATTAAATGAGCATGCATAAGCATTATTGCTTATATTAAGCATAGTATAACAAGCTAAAAGTGTGCTAATGGACTTAAAATATGAGGTTAAATGATGATAATAAACATGCATATAGTGACTAGAAGTTACAATTGAATTATAATCAATCTTAACTGAATCTAATGAATTTGAACATGATTAAAATAAGAAAATTTAAGTTTTAAATCTCGTGTGTATATGGATGATAATAAGCTATATGGATAGAATAATAAAAAGTTAAATAGACATGTAAATCAAGGATAAGTATTATACTAAAATGTTGAGATACATAAGTGAGATTAAAGGATGAGTTTAGGTTAAAATATTATTTTTATCAAACCAAATTAAACTCAATTAAGGTTACTGCAATATTAAAATTATATTAGTAAAAAAAAAAACTTAAAATGAAGCCTAATGGAATTGAGCTCTAGACCTTAAGGCAACCTCTTAAGTACCTCTATCTTAATTTTGTCCTCATCCTTTTTATCCAATTGATAACCCATGACCCTTTCTCTCTTTTTCGGTCATTCTCTAAGTTTCTCTCAAAGATATCATAAAATCCTAACTCTAAGGAAGATATTGAAACAAGAAAAAGCTAAACTCTTCCCTTGCTATATCTAAGGGTTTACTTTTATAGATTATAGGCTAATTTTTTCAACTACTTATAAGTAATCAAGAATTTAAATTTATCTATAAATTTTAGATATATTTTGGATGATTCTCTTAGGGTTTTAAAACCTTTAGCATAAATTTAATTTAAGATTAGTACGTAGAGTTATTATTGTCCTAATATGAGGTGCTTAGAATCTCCTATTTTCTGAAAAGAGGTTTGGTTTTACTGAATTAACTCTATTAAAAATATGATTAGGCTATAGCCGTTTGATATATTTTAAAAGATTCTATTAGGATTATGTAAGATTTAGAATTGAGTAAATATCACCTCTATACACTAAGGGATGAAGTTTATAAGTTCAGACAGTCCCAACCTTGTTTCAACAAAATATAATGGTATTAATAGTTGAATTAGGAGGATAGTTTAACCTTCAAATA